ATTTCTAGGATCCTGCTTGATCACAATGGCTCTGAAACAAACCAGGCAGCCTCTGACAGTGCTGCAGAAGCATGTCAAAGTGACTTAAGGCTAGAAGTATCTGAGAATGCTTTATTACTTATTTAGGATCTTCAAATCTATTGCTAAAATGAAATGAAAGAAAACAAAATCAGAGTGGGGTGGCATCTCCCTTCTGGCTTCAACAAAATCAAATGTGGTATAATTCAACTTTTAAAAAACGTAAGTCTTCAACTCTCTGGGAGGTAAGTTTTAACTCTCAGAGTGGCTGTCACAGAATTAAAATTGCTCTCAATAGATGAGAGTAACATAATCCATTTTCATAAAGGGAATACTAATTACTAGAGGTGTCATAAAGTTGTACATGTTTTCATTAAAAACTCAAAATATACTCTAATCAATGGGGAAAATTTAACCTCAGAAAAAAACAGTGTAGTAGCAAATAGATTCCAAACCTCCCAAAGACTATGTTGTCAATGGTGTTCATTCAGTATCATGAAAACACCTCCCCAGTTCCACAAAATTTTGGAATTGACTCACAGTTTTTAGTAATGTTCTTGCTCAATTTAAAATCAGACCTTGCATATTTGGTGTGTTCTTTCACAAACAGCTTTCAAACTGTGTGCTGAGCCCATCCTTGCAACTATTTAGACATACAAATCCCCATCTGAATACAATATTCACTAAATTCATTCTTCGCCCAGTGACATCCAAGTATTTTCACAGAGATGCAAGGGGGAAAAAAAGGCAGTATGTTTAATATTTTAAAGTATGTTATTCATGTCATCTACTACATAAATGGATACACTAGTATACAACTCCCTGTGTGTACAATACATCCTATGTTTTCAAAATCAAGTTTCAGTCGTTTAAATCTCAAAGGTCCCCACAAAATCCATCCCAAACACACACCTACCCACCTTCCCGCTCATCCCTTCCAAACTCTGGAGCCTCATCTCCCTCAGCCTCATCTGAATTTCCTTCTCCATACACAAAGCTTTCCAAGTCCCTGTTCCTGAGCACTCGGCATCCAGCCTTCCACAGACACAGCAGACTATAGTCTGCTCTTTGCCCTTGTTAACAGGGGCCTTCAAAATCCCTGATTAATTTTCCCATGCAAGTAAGGTGAAATTCAACTGTCCAACCTCACTAATATTAACCACATCCATTTTCATCCTGTAGGCCATTTGTCAGCCTCAGATACACCCAGCAATATCACACAGTGAGATGAACCACAGCACGTTTCCACTGCCAGTGACTCCATGTCCTGGACAGTCTACTCCAGTGTTTAACAACCCCTTCTGTGAAGAACTTCCTCCTACTGTCCAGCTTGAACCTTCCCTGGCACAGCTTGAGGCCACATCCTCTCCTCCTGTCACTAGTTGCCTGGGAGAAGAGGCCGACCCCCAGCCATACATAAATAATACAAAAGAGCTTTAAATTCTGATTTAGCCTGTTCCTCCATTTCTAAAACATTTTTCCCACAAACTAATATGATATAAAGTCCAGAAAAAAATAAAACAGGGGTTTATGCTCAGCACACAACAGGGCAACTTAAGAGGTTTTTGCTTTTACAACAAAAATATTGGTTTAGCTGAATACTTTGTGTCCTTTGATGATTTTCTTCCCTCGTACAGGAAGCTCCCTCAAGCTTGCTTGGTGTTTACCTATTGCAACTCGTTATTATTTATACATTTTTTTCCATTTCCTATACAATGACCAGTTGCAAGACTAGTATCACACGGAGACAAAATACACACAGTGCATTGCATCTGTGCAGCAGCTCCCCTGCTGATCAGGTCTTCACTGGAACTTACTTTTGGCAATGACTTTCTTTAACCAAAGTCACAGCTGACTCCCCCCAGGTTGTCATGAAGACTTCTTGCATTTCTTGAAGCTGTCCAACAAATGCATTGGTGTGAAAATGCCAAGAAAAAGAGCGTATAATTTTAAAGGAAAAATTCAAATGGTTCAACACTTCCTGAAGACGAAAGGGATTTCTCTAAGGTTTAAAATTACTTATTTGCCAAGCTTATTCTGGAAATTCTTTTTCTTTGTTCAGATCCTCAAAATGAAAGGTGTTCTGACTTTCTCAAATAAGCTGCGCATTAACACACGTACCCAAATCTTCAGAAATTCTGCCAGGAAAGCTGGAATAAACATAACAAATCCTACCATAAAAATGCTACTGAAAGGCAATTAAAAAAATACACCATGTTCCTGTAACAAAAATAATGTTCTAAAGTGAAGACAGCTGCACAGTAAACTGTATATAAAATGTTCACCAACACAAAAAATTTGCCTGGTAATTCTACAGGGATATGACAAAAAGAAAAAAAAAAAGATGCTTAGCCATCCTAACCCAAATAGAGATTAAAATAATATATAAGTGATTTTATTAATTTTGTTACTGTCCGAATCAATGTGGGAAGTATTCAAAAGGCACGTTTATTTTGTCTCATTGGCAAAATAACAAATACTAACCATGAAGACTTCTACCTTTCAACACTGCAGGCCCTACTCCAAGCTGAGAGGCAGTGCACTTCACCAATGTTCTGTTTCCATAGCCTCCAAAAATAAAGTGCTGAAGTTCAAGGCATAAGAGCTTTACTACATCAGAATCTCAGCATGATTTCTGAAAACTTCAATCACAGTAAGAAAAGGTTTATCACCCCTCTAAAAAACCAGTAGGAAGATTCATTGTATCACCTGCAATTGCAGTATCTTCTCACAGCCAAAAGGAAGGAACTGGAAATATTGCAACACAAGTACCTATAACGAAATACAAGGTACTCAACTCTAAATCCTGTAGCACGGATGCAGTGGCTGACTAACAAAAGCCCACTCCTTTCTTCTGTCTCCCTGAGGTATCAGGAAAATCATGTGTCTGCCTTGTGAAAAAACAGCAGAGAAGGAGAGGATGTCTCAACAACCTCACCAGGGCAAGAGTTCTAACAAGGCAAGACCATTGGGTCTCTTGTAATTTGAAGATTAACATTACTGTATGCAGTTATAATGCTACAAGAAACAAATCCTAATAGTGTATGTTCAGAAAGAAGCATAAGGAGTATGGAAAGTTGGCCTATTGAGTATTTTATAATTTGCATTATAAAAAGCAGAGGAATAAGAATATTTTGCAATCGTGTTACTTAAAACTGAGAACAATTCTCTTTTGCAAATGTAAATACTCAACTTGGTTAAATCAAGACAATCACAGATAGACATTTTTTCCCAAATCTTTGGCTGTATTGCAATGGTTGTTTCAATTTGTAATCTCCAACTAAACATTTCCTATCCATGGATTAACAATATATTTACTGACTTGTGTCTTTTAACAGTATTTATCCAACATAACAAAATAAACTGCAATTTGTTATACTTTTTTTTTTTACAAAACATTTTATAAATATTTTTACAAAATGTATACAAAGCAATTTCAAGTGAGACATACTTTACAAATGAAGGTATTTAAGCAAATAAAGTCCATACCACACTGACAATAAGTGACACATCCTCTTTAAGTGAAGTCAGTCTGTAAGGCCTCCCTACTCTAACAGATAAATTATACTAAAATCTTCAAAATGAACATAGTTTTCTTAATTGCCAGTTTAAAATTTGTTTTACTATTAGGCAGTATTAAATAACATTGAAATCACAATGCTGATCCAGCAAAATAATGAAAACATGTTTAAAGTCATGCACATTCACAATACTTTGCTGGACTTGAGCCCATATGATTAATAAACTTTTTTAAGCACCACAAAAATACAATTCTTTCATTTACTGCTTCATCACGTACCAGAATTCCTTTAGAATTGAATTCAAAGGAGGGAACAACAGGACATTAGCAAACTAAGATCAATCTTGTTAGGATTGTTCAATGGGTTCCTCTCACAAGCAGTTCAGAGAAATGTGTCTGACCAAATCAATCACGATTACCTTTTGTAATTTGCCATTTTTTATATACCATTTCCCCCCCTCCCCAAATGAGATCCAATAGAAGACACATAGCCTGATACTTCAATTATGTATTTGCTGTAGAGAGGCTGGAAACCCCGCATCCATTTTGAGGTGGTACAAAAAGCAAGGGGATTAATGAATGTGCAACTTCACTTTTTTTTCTTCTCTATAAAAGAAAAATTTAACTGGTTAACATACAGCTGTGAAACTTACTGCTCTCCTTCCAAGATAGTTTAGAATGGTTAAATTTCCAAAATGATAAAATAAAATATGCATCAGGATACACAGCCATGAGCATATTATTAAATCTAAAAAGGCAAAAGGTGAAGACTATATTGTCAGTTTTGCCAATAAGAAAACAACTAACTGCTTGAGAGTCTATTCTATGGACACCCAACTAAAAATTTAAAACTGGCAATACTTCTTATTATATTGACTGTTATACAACACTTGGGAATGTTGGGTTTTTACAAACAGGTACTTTATAATTGGCACAATTTTTTTAAATGGCAATTAGTAACATACAAAAATCAGTATTTCCATTCATGTTGAAGGGGAAATGAATTTTAGGGAAGTTCATCTTTCTCACATTGCTTTCTAGATTTGGTTTCCTTTAGTGGTCAGACAGTGGACTGTAGTTCAATACTGAGTTGCGCTGTAATCTTCTACTATCCCAAGGATCTAATTCTGCTTTCTTCTGTGCTATTCAGAAGGACTGAATTACACGACAGCAAAACCTTTTGTTTTCTCTCCTGGCAATCTGACTGACAACCACAGCTTGTCACAACGAGCCTCTTATCTCATGAAAATCATAATCAGCAAGTCTGAAAAATGGTTGGTAATTTTTCTAAGAAACTGTGGAGAAGTTCTGGGGAAGAACATGAGCATACCTTAAAAACCACAAAAGCTATATCCTCCTGAGCAGACATATGTACTGCACGCACGTGACGAATGTCAGCGCGCTTATGTGCATAAAAGCACTCATGACCAAAGTAAACTAGGACAAAGCAGCATGGGCAGCAAAAAAAAAAAAAAAAACCCAAAAAAAAGTCATAGATTAAAATAAATAAATAAAATAATAAGATTCTATCTTAATAACATGACAGCAAGCCAGATACAAACCATGCAATGGTTTCAATTGGCTCTACAATATGAATTAATAATTACACATTTTTTGATATGTTTAAACAATGGGATTGCTGATCAACTTTGGTCTGTACATATCTTGATAATTATGACTGCTACGGTGGATGATTTAACATTCTCTGACAGCAAAATAGCAAAAAAATCAAAAATAAACACTGGCCTTTAAATTTAATCAGAGTAAGGCTAACGTCCTCTTAAAATATAAGCTACAAATACAGTTTTCAAATAAAAGTGCTTTTGACACTTGGTCTAAAAAAAACAAACAACAAATAAAAAAAAAAAAGAAACATTTATACCACTTCAGAAAGACTCAAGGCTGACTACATCCAATTATAAAATGCAAAATCTTTTTCTCAAGAGTTAACATATATATGTATTATATATATAAATTCATGGCTCTCTCATGGCCTCATCCTGTACACTTTGCCATTTACTGGCTTCCATTCTACCTTCCTTAGTCAAGCATTTATTACTTCATATCATGCCACTGTGACTAAGATCATATAATATCATCCCACAGACTAAAGTTACCCACTACAAATATATCATCAAGTACTAGTTTCTGCTCAGAAAGCAATAGAAAAGCACTTAAAAGTTTAAATTATGAAGCCTTGTAAACACACTGATGATTTCCTTCCAACTCAAGAATCCTAGAACACAGATTCATCAACAAAGCAAATAATCACTTCTGAATAGAGGTACAGTGGGTTTTCCAGAAAAACTAAAAATTTGATGATTTGTGGAAGAAAGGGTAGGGGAGAATTGTTGCTTCCATCACTCTTTAAAAACATTTTCTTAATAAATATATCCTTTCAAATGACTGTGATTGTCAGTATATTACCGTATTATATAGGGCCTAACAACCTGCAACCTTGTTTTATGTTGCAGCACTGCTCAATTAAAAGCGCTATCATAATAATACTTGAAACAGTAAGGCCCTAACAGACTGCATTCTAACAAGGATTAACTTTACTTGGATATCTCACTGTAACCACAATGAGTATTGCTCTCAAACACAGAACAGAATCTAGTTTAGAAAGGTTAACCTTAAATGCATGTCAGGCTGTACTTGTGGTGTCATTCACATTTGCTTCTGCTAAGAGAAACATAACTTGTCCATGGTACTGTAACTATTAACACTCTAAGATACTATTTACAGCTGCTTCTAAAATAGAGTCAGTTTCTACAACACTTTCACTGTGGTCTGGAATAAATTTTTCCAGGCAGTTCTCTTGTGAAGCAATAGGTGAAAAACTGGGAAATTCTAATTCAACAGAGCCGCTACTTGCCGCCTCGTTTTGTGGCTGTCTCCCGGCTTTTTTAAGTTCCAAGATGTTTTTAAATGTAGTTTCTAAACTCTTACTGAGCAGTAAGTCTTGCTGGGTTTCACCAGAGCCTTTCCTGTTATCAGGATGCAAAACCTCATTCTTTGGAGAGCTCCTCAGAGTTTTGTCTTGAAGAGAATTATTACACGTTACCTTTGAGAAAGACTGAATTGTGTTCCTTGATATCTTATTCTGTGTCCCATGACTGCCTCTTGACACAGCTTTTGACAAGTCTTCAGAACTCGAAGAATTCTCAGTGGACTTGGCAAGATCTTTCCCAGTCATCCTTTCTTCAGAAAGGGCCACGTATTGGCTCTCAGAAGAACAATTAGCTTTTTCAAACTTTAAAGCTTTAGTGAGGCTCTCTGATTTTTTAGTAGAAGCTTTTCCTTCTTGTGGGGTCAGAATGTTGTTAGGCACTAGAGGAATTTTACTGTGATTTGTGGACTCTGCTGAGCTGGATTTTGGTCGATCTCTTGCTTGGGTTTTGGTACTCTGACTTCGAGAAGGTAACGTTTTGCTAGACTGATGGTCACTTTTGCTGGTCTGTGCTTCTTCAGCTGTTTTCTCAAGTTGTTTGGCAGAACAACAAAAATCGGCCTGATAACCATCTGAAAATTAAGTAGCAACATTTTACTAAAATTACCTACACATAAAAATAACTGACATTCCAATATAGCTTCTGAGTATTAAAATTCAAATAACATCCACAGCCTACAGACTTGGGTCTTCAGGAGACGTTCATACACTTAAGTGTTCTGCTGCATACAGTGCAAGAGATTATCACTAAATTAATCACTAAATTAATCAGCATACTAGGCACGTATGTGCACTTTAAAACCAGATTAAGGGCTCTTCCCAGCATTCTCAATATGCAAATATGGTCTCTGGAAGACTAATACTTTCTACAATACATCCTGTGAATATCTTTTAAAATATGCAGAACTTTGAAACAAATAGTAGCTGTTATCTTACACAAATAATGTGTTTCTAGGTGCTACATTCGACAACATTCTGGTTAAAAAAGGCTGCCATTTAAGTGGCCATGATACTCCAAAAGCAACACTTCATTAAGATGAACGAGAGCATCCATGCTTCATAGAGTGGTGTTCTTTCTGGCAGCAAGAAACTCGCAGATTCTTCCCTGCTAGAACTCACATCATGCAGAAGTCATGACTATTTTCAAAAGAAACTCAGAAATATTTCTGCCCAACAGGTCAAATATATTTTTTTTTTCCAAAAATAACTGCTTCAACCTTACAGTGTCTCTAAATTGTTAGATTCTGGAGTTATGAAAAGTTATCTTGCAACTGCTTATTCAGTATTTTGATTACTGCAATCCACAGCAATCAGTGCCCCACTGTGGCCACAACTATTTTTAAACACTCCACACTTAATTTAGAAGTTAAGCATTACTTACCAGGATCCACAAGTGCAAGACGCTTATCCCGGGTCAGAGATGCCCTTTCCTCCTGGTTAAACATCCTATCAATCATAACCATTTCTGCAGAGGGATTTATCCGCTGCAGGAAAAGGAAAAAAAAAATACATCTCTGTAGTGACTCATATGTTGGTACCAAATCAAAACATCTATTACAGTTACTCTTCAGAGAAAAAGAAATTTCTTTCATTAGATATTTCTGATGAATATTCACAATTCAACAATCTTCACTCTGACCCAACCACTACCGAAACTTAATCATAAAGTATTACTCACATTTTACGGCAAATTTTATTTGGTAAAGATTTTAAACCAGGGAATTACTATTTCAATCACAAAAACTGTACTTTTTCAGCACTGAGTGCATTTACTACTGTATACCACAATTTTTTTTACATCATACAGTATCTTTCTCTTTTAGAGAGACAATCAGCAAAAATCTGCAATGGGACCACCCTATCATCTTCTCTACACTTCTCTTCCATCCTTATAACTAGTTGGTGTTGGGTTTCGTTTTCCTGACAGTGTCTTCAAGCCAGTTGGATCCACCTCTCATGGAAGAAAGCTCACTGCCCTAAGTCACAGCATAGGCAACTAGTTTCAAACCTGAATGATATGTGAAATAACCTCTTCAAAATTACTGAACGGTATTTGCCATACAACATACCAGATGCTAAAAGAACAAATTTCAAACTCCTTCCCCTCTTTGCACCTGCAAATGTTTGATGGTTAGGAACTTTTTTAAGGAACTGATAGATTCCAAAACCGTACTTATTCTAACACTTATAGTCTGTATTCCTGACTCTAAAGCAGAGTGATATGTCTATTAAACTCAAAACTTTTCCAGGCTCGAAAACTAGCATATCCGAGGCCACAATGACATTTCCTGGTCCTTGTAAAATACATTCTTAAAGTAACTTTGTGCATTTTATTTTACCTCATATCTGGGATTGTGAAAGCACTTGAATCAGAAGCATTTATGATGAAAATATGAGATTCCATCTAGCTTCTAAGGACAAATAATGATTTCCTAAATTGGGATATGATTTGGCTCCAATTATAACATGCCTGGAGGCCTCTAAATAGACATTTTCAACATTATTTCACACTCCAACAGCGACAAAAACGCACAGAAATCACCTTCCTGACTATCACTGTCTGTTCAGTGCAAAAGCAAAGCAGAAGCAGAGAGCAGAAGCTCATGTGCCTTCAATGCCTATGGAACTTACCAGTTAACAGCACCCTTGCTTAGGGAGTATCTGAAATACAAACTCAACCCATTTCACTGACTTTAAGATGTGTGCAGACACTGAAAAAGGCAGGTTGGCTCCACTGAGCTTGCTGGTGCAATAATAAGTACACTGGCTAAACGTGCACCTCCAAAACCTTTACAATATTTATCATCTTCATAAGGTGATAAACAGTATCAACAGAACAAATTGTAATATCAGTTCTCACCTTCCTGTAGGTGTATATTTTTTTAACAAACTGGATTACATCCAATAAACATGATGTGTACCTGGGTTATACACCTTACCATTGCATCTTCTATCAGCAAACATCTGTATTTGTTCAGCATAGCCTGTGTCCTCTTCAGAAGCTGTGTGGCTACGGATTCAAATTCACTGTCCACTAGAAAGACAAAGTATACTTTCAAACACTGTTCTTCAGTAACCTGCACAAATTTTAAAATATTCCTTTTCTTATTGGTCTGACATACATTAAGAATCCTCTCAATACACTGATTACAAACTTACTGCCAATTTTTAAAGAGAAAATTACCTTTTCTTAAGTCCTCCTCTGTTGGCAGTGATCCCTGGCACACATGGTATGAAAGGAGTCTTTGAACTGCATCATTTAATGATCTGAACCGACTTTTATCTGGTGTCACAGCATGTACCTGATCCTTCTGTAATTGTTGTAGAATACTACAACAAAAATTAATGATATATAATTAACAAGTACTGTACGAAAGTTTTTATGCTGACAGAAACTAAAAAATTTAGGTTTCTACAATAAAATTATAAAGGAAGAATGACTTACAAAGCTCCTTTAGTTAACTGTTTAGCAGCAGGCCTTTTCTGTCCAACTAAATGACCATCCACCTAAGTTCAAAATAAAAGACAAATTACAACATATCCCCTCCTTTGCAAAGCCTATCAGTATTTGTTTCTGTCACTTATCACCAACACTATCTGTAACCAGCACAGAAGTATAAACACTTTCAACTATCTCCTCTTCTAATAGGATGCTGTATCAACAAAAGAGGGAAGTCACATAAATCAAAGGTCTGAAATGCTGTTTGTAGGCAAATACCACTGTAGTGCATATATATGTTTCCTAGGAAAGAGATTACCAAATTTAGCAGATGAAAAGGAGGAAAGGTACAACTAAAAACTTTTCCAAATAAATTTGCTCTCATGAACTGTCTCTGCATTTCTCACAAGACGATATTCATATACTCCAAAAAAAACCCTGCAAAGATTCCCAGCTTGTTTGCTTGCTCCCTCCCCCCACCCCAGTGGGGAGAAGAGTTAGAAAAAAGTAAACCTTGTGGGTTGAGAAGAACAGTTTAATAATGGAAAATAATAATTACTATTAAATTGTAATGAAAAAGAGAAAGAGAGGGGAATTAAACCCAGGAGAAACAAGTGATGCACAATACAACTGCTCAGCACTCTCTCACTGATGTCCATCCTGCCCCCAAGCAGTGATTGGTGGCTCACAGCCAATTCCCTCATTTTTATATTGAACATGATGTTCTACAGCATGGAATATCCCTTTGGCTAGTTTGGGTCGGTTGTCCTGCCTCTGCACCCTCCCAGCTTCTTGTGCACCTCCTCACTGGCACCGCACAGGGACACTGAAAATTCCTTGACTTATTGAGTAAGCACTGCCCAACAAACAAAACATCGGTGTGTTATCAACACTATTCTCATCCTAAATCCAAAACACAGCACTATACCCACTACTAAGAAGAAAATTAACTCTATCCCAGTTGAGATCAGGACAGACAGGGAAACACATAAATAAAAGTATTCTCTACCTGTATACTCTGTTGAACTGATGTTGATCCTATCACTTTTTCTTGTGGCTGTGCTGTTCCTAGAGATTGCGGTACGATTTTTCCTCCAGAGTCCTGTCCTATAATAAAATGTTAAAAAGACTCTGTCACCCTAAGCAAGAAGAGAATAACTTCATGTACCTATCCTGATAATTTTGAGTTTTTAGGAAGGATATGTCTTACATGACTAAAAGCATTAGTGCAACTAACCTGTGGAGAAACCGGCTCACACAAATGAAACAGGACTGATATTTTGTGCTGCAAACTACAAAAATCCTCAGACATAAATCACCCCCTACCATAGTACCACAAAGTAAGAAGAAATTCAAGTATCCTAAGTTTAGTGTCCCAACAATTTACTGAAAATTATACAGTAAATTTTATCAATATTTTCAATACTAACCCTCCCTCAAGCATATAAACCAAATTTTTCTAGAGCTCATGAAAGTATTTAAACAGCAAGCTTATTTTCCCCCCCTACATTTTTTAGGTAGGCAGACTTCCTCCAACTGCCTTTCTCCATAACTCAAACAGTATCTTATCAGTCATGCTTATCAGTCATACCCCATACCGTGGTAATTGTAAAGAACTGCTGGGCAGCTTACACATTACAGTACACAAGCAAAAGAAAAAAAGCAAGGTAGAGTATAGGACCTTATTCAAAAGAGTTATATATGTACAAAGAGAACAGGAAGGTTACTGAATTTTTCTATTTGACTTGAATATACTGGTATTGTTCTTTTAGTAGCATGGTGCTGCTTGAAAAGCCCAGTATTTTGCCATGGACAATGCATTAACTATTCTAACGCAAGTGGCACATTAAAAAACAAAGTGAGTGATGACAGCCTGCACAAAATGTAATCACTGTTTTTCTTCCCTCCGTATCTGAAACAGCCATCACAACAGAGAATCTAGAAGTTTCAGGGAATTTTAGCAGATGTCTGTGTTTTGAAAATTACTTATTTCTACTTTCCTAAGCTGAAAAAAAAGAAAAACAAAAGAAGGTACAATTTTGGATTTTATAGAGGGGAGAAATAATTGCTAATTGCGGAGATTCAACTTTTCACTCTAGGAAATGAAGTACCATGGTTGGGAAAAAAATCAAAGGCAACATTCAATATTGAAAAAAAATAGCTTGCATTCTTCTAAAAATTAAATTCCGACAACCTTTAGGACCCTATCAGCATGATCCATCAGTGTAAGTTTGACACACTCTCTTGCTGGAGAAAATTAAGAAAATTATGTTAAAAAGACCTTAGTTGACCTGATAGTGTGTTGCTCAGAAGACTTGTTAGTTGAGGCTGTCTCAAATTATCCTGTGTCTTCGATGCAGAAACCGGTGATGTCTGGTTCACAGCCTTCTTCTGTGCCACATACATAAAATAAATTAAAAAATATTTAAAAAATCACAGTGAAATATTTACTGGAAGCTTTAAGAAACAGAAGGAAAAGGTATTTAAAATTCATCTCTGTGTATACTTTTTTAACCTCAAACTCATCAGTGGTGAAATTTCAGACATCTCAATTTCTCCAAGATCAAGAATTTTATAAAGTAAATCAAAGAGGAATAGAAATTACACTAACAGTACAAATATATACCAGTTACATTCTACAAGACGTCTGATTTGCCACTACAAGAGTCCCAAAACTGCAAGATGACAAAGTTGCTTTCACAACAAAAAAAAACACACAGTGGAACAAACCATCCACTGTTCAGCAACTAAAATGATAAATGGTTTATCATACAGTACAATGTTTAAAATGGAAGTACAAACAAACTAAAAAGATTCTGGCAAACAGTGGCATTTGTTCTCTGTAGTTCCCATTTTCAGCTCTGAAATTTCAGCACGGTGAACTTTTTAGCAATAAGAAATATTATGCTTTTATAACTGCTGAAATTCACTGACCCAGCACATAACCTACAAACAAGAAGATGTAGACACATGAAAAGAAAGTCAGAGAGGCCTCAAATTACTCAAACTACAAAATGTAACAACCTGCACTAGCAGTTTTGGCAAAGACTACAAATGCGGTTCTACAACATGTTTGTCCTTATTTTTTAAATACACAGTATTTTCTAAGACATTATTTCATTGCAAATTTTGAGTTTGTTTAAAAAAAGAACTATTAGACCTTTGGAAAAAGAAAAAGAAGTAAAACAGTGCAAATGCATTCTCAGACAGTTATCAGAATTTTAAATGATCAAGAACAAACAAACAAAATCAAAAAAAAAAAGGACAGAGGTGGAATAACTCATTGCTAATCGTGTGAGAAGTCTCTGAGTTAAATACTGGCAGCTGACTTTAGAATCTTTTTCTTTTTTTGTTTTTAAACTTTTGACAGTTTGGAAGCTCTCTTATGAAGACACATGAATTTGAGTTGAATATATATCGCAGCTGTATCTACTGGAAAAAAGCAGACAACTTCTCACCCTAAAAGTAAATTCAGATTTTTTTTTTTAATTATTACTAACTAGACTTCTTAAAGCAATTTTTTTTAATGTTATGCTTTTACAAACTGCTTTAAAAGATTTTTTTTTCCAGGATTCTCAGAACCACTTCTTGTCTTTGCTTCAAATTTGAAAGCTTCTAACTGCTCCAGACACAGGACACAGTGGGCAAAATGCCAATACAGCAAAAAAAAAAAAAAAAAAAAAAAAAGCCCAAGACACCTTTTCATCTCTAACTTGAAGAGGTCATACCTTGAAAAGCACATAGGTTTTAGTGAGGTCAAACGACTTTTAAGTGCTAAGAATATACCCGAGCCTTTACATGTAGCCTATGGTAAGGTTTTCAGAAGAGCTCACAGTTGTATAAACCTACAGTGCCCATTCCTTTAAACAGGAGCAGAAACAGATCAATGCTAAGCACTTCTGAAAATATTACTACAAATCACCAAGTCTTCTGAATTAATCAAACTGACAGAGTCATTCACTCAGTGACAGATTTAGAAAATACCAAGTGAAAGGATGTCTCTGGGTTACAGTAGTTTTCAGCAGTTCCACAATATCTGGAACAATACAAACCAGCAAAATTAATGTTCTCTGTATTAGCAGCAACATTAAACTTTGCTAACCAGCTTTCAGCACAGCTTAGAAGCATTTCTTTGGCTACACTCTCAAGCAGCTTTCATACCTGACCAAAGGCAAACTGCTGTTGTGTTACTCCACCAGATGTGTGACTGAAGGTGCTGACGGATTTGGAAGAGGACGCTGGAAGACGATGCGATGCACTGACAGAAACTTGAGTTCTGTTCTGTATGAGCTGATCTCCTGTAAAGTTTCCTCCTGATGCGACAGACTGAACTGATGGTCCCAAGCTAGGATGTACTGAACCAGAAGAACTTGCAACAGCAAATCTGTTAGAAGCTGACATATTTGAGACTGTGGACTGCCCGGGTGACATCGCAGAGAAACTCGATCTACCTTGAGAAACATTAGCTTGACTGGGTGACAAATGCAACACCGTTGGTGACGCCTGCTGCATTGGCACCTGCCCACCAACAATTTGTGAAGTTCCATGGTTTACTATAACTTGGTTTCCAGGAGCTGTGAATGTCTGGCCAGAAACAAGCTGAACAGCTGTGTTCTGATTATTCAGCATCTGTCCTGAATACGACTGGTTGGCTCTTAGCATGTTTGTAGAGTTCCTGTTGAGCATTACATGCTCAGCAGACACTTGGCCAGGGACCAGCTGGGAAGGCTGAGTCTGAAGAAGCTGTCCATTTATGGCCTGGACATGATGAACTGAATTAGAATTAACAGACAAACTTGTAGGTATGAGAAACTGGTTTTGAGATGCGTGAGGCTGTCCCATAGGAGAATGGATAACAATACTACCTCCAGCATTGCTAACTGTCTGAGGTGTAACTGATTTTCTTGTATTTTGTTGATTAACAATATTAACAGACATATGAGGACCAACTACTGAACTCTGAGGTGAGTTTGCAGAAGCAAAGGGAATCCCTTGCTGTACATGATGTTGCTGTATTCCCAAGTTATTCACATTGTAAGCAGTCTGCTGACCCATCTGAATCGGCTTTGGTTGGATATTAATAGGAACTTTGTTAGAGTTTGGTGCCAAACCCCTTTGAATGATGATATTATGGACAGGTAATGAAGTCTGAAAATTTGTGCTGTTAAATGGAACAGTTACAGGTTGTGCTACTGGACTTGAATTTGAGTTACTGAACAGCGAGTTCCCATTTGGAGTTTGTCTGTGAACCAAGAGCCCACTACTCATGTTTGCAGGTGTTTGCTGACCATTGCCTTTCAATATTATCTGAGATCCATCGAGGTTATTAATGGTCATCATGGAAGGTTGATTACTAAATGAACCAATTAGCTGTATCTGCCCAGAACCACTGATCTGGCTGCTATTAGACAAATGCTGGCTGGGAACACTAATTCCGACATGTTGCATAAAGCCATGTTGCACACCGACTGTATTGCTTGCAAAAGATGCTCCAACAGGTTGCTGTACCACTTGAGTAACTCCTATAGGTTGCAACGTCTGACCTGAGTAATTAGAAACATTAGAAGCCTGAGTAAAGGATGCTGATGAAGAAGGATGAAGCTGAGCTTGTGCAAACTGTTGGCTAGAACCTACGCTGGCATCCAAATATGCCTCTTCTGCCAAAGTCTGTTCAGTAATATTGGCCTCCTGCAAGGACTTCTGAAGAATATCAAAAGGCTGATCCTCAGTAAGATCAGGCAAAGGAGACGATACAAGTTCATCTTCAAGAAACTGAAGGCTACTGGACAGCTGCAGTCCATCACTAGGCCCCTCTCCAAGCTGACCGCTTACACCTTTTACAGACGACTTAGGATCAGTGCTCTGAAATGCAAAACAAGAAATAATTTTCATAAACTTCAACATCTACCTTGTTTTCTCATTTTTCTTCATGCAAGCAAATTTTCTACACAAAATTCCACTCTTCACACTGCACATATAAGGCGACATTCACCCCATACAGTGGGCCAGCACAAACACATATATCACTGACATCTCACTCGTGCCCTCAAACAGACTGCTGGAGCACTACTTTCATTTCCCATCTCAAATCTCCCAGTTCCACACCATCTAGCTCTGCAGCTGCACTGTTTCAAGAGGATTTGAAACGCTCTTTAAGTACCAGTTTCCCTTCCTCAATCTGAGCACTGGACAGGCAAAAGGATAAAAGAAAGGAGGAGTGAAAACACCTCCACTGTAATGCAATTTCGGGCAAGGCTTCAGTAGCAGCAGTAGTAGCAGGGAAAAGGAAGGAGAAAGCTGACTGCTAGCAAATGACATCCCTCTCTAAAATCCTATCAGCATTCCTATAATCACTTAGTGTAAACTTGTGACCATTTCATAAAGTTAAGAAGGAATTATTCTAATTCTTTAAGAAAAATTTTAGAAACAAAGCAGTAAGAAAAGTAATGCTACAGACTTTGTGGTTTATGCTACTAAAAAGATTACTGAGAACTATAAACTTTGAAACTACCACAAATATTAAGTGGCTTTAATGAAAAAAATCCTTCAAATCTACATCCATAAACACTGTGCTAAAGAAAATGAGAACCCTATTGACTCTTGTCTACTGTTGTCCTAGTTAGAGCAGTCAGAACCAGTTCATCACTGTGTGGGTGTAACCCAAGCTCTGTATTCTACACCCTCTCTGACATTTCCCAGGAACTGTTAACAACAGACCATTCGCAGCAGCTGCCCAGAGCACACCTGACCCCTCAGGCTATAAGCCGGGTGTTAAAAAGCCTGTGAGATAGGAAGATATTCCTATCCTCACACCAATGACTAAGGTGTGATAACACCTCTCTGGGGAGTCATTAGCACCTCCACACCCAGCCTGAGGGGTCCTGTCTGCTAAATGGCCAACAAGAATTCCAAAAATATCCCACAACTCACAATTGTTCCCCGCCCTAGGGAAGGTACTGGGCATTCCCACTCTAACATGAGTGTATATAATTTTGAGGTCTTGGGACTTCTGGTACCACTCGTCAGATCCAGAGGAGGATCAGAACTTCAACCAGACTGCAGCCACCACTCTTGACCAGACTGCGACCAGCACTCTCACCAACAGGTTTTCCTCCCCTTTTACTTTGGACTCAGAGGGACCATGTGGGGCTCAGCACAGGAGCCAGAGAACACCACTCTGTTCACGTCCCAGAGTGCTGGGTTATACATCTGGGTTTTGGGGGTTAAAACCAATTGTTTGTCCGTATAATTGTACTATTGTATTATTTTTTATTAAATTGTAACTCTGACTTACAATCTCTTTTGAGTTGGGTTCATTTCTCCTGCCGGTTTACCTTTAAACCAGCACAACTGTGTCTAAGATTTTCCTAAAACAAAATTCTGTCCAGAAACTCTAGACAACACGAGTATCAGGTTCCTGCAGATGGAATGACAATTTAAACGCATAATAATACTTGCAGTAGTTTCAAGTTAGGCAGAGTACATCTTTCTACATTGCATAATTATATCTCAGCTGTTCAAAAACAACATCCAGTGGCTTTTTAGGTCAGGATAAATGTAAACCGTGGGTGTGCAATTATCAGTCACGTTCATACTCTGAGCCTTCACTCCTTGAAGGTCACAGACACTTGTTCTCACCTCATGTAAACAGTGTGAAGATGCTGCAAGCCATAATTATCACATGCAACAACGTCCCCACCCTAACTTCAGTTCCCCAAGCATATTTATTCAGAATTTTACCCCAATCTGTTTCTAAAACAGCCTGTGTGTTTTTTGACACTTAGGTCATGTTTTGAAATATTAAAGGATTGTTATTAAGATTAAATATTTTCAGATTACAACTATAAAACTACCAGAGGAATTAAACTAGTGCTTAAATGTCTCGATGCCTGCATCTCATGAACACCTAAAGCTCAGATCCTCAACTGTACCCAGCTACCATCGGGCAAAGCAAAAAAGGAATCACTAGGGAATTACTAAGACTCTTAACTGTCAGGTTCTTCAGGAGAATTCCCTATTGTATCTGTAATTTGTCTGCAGGTACAATGACCGATCTGAAATCTTTAATGACCGTGTAACTTAAAAAGTTCCAGTTAGTTGTATTAACAATACAATTATTACTACTACCAATAATAACAATAATAAATAACATTACATGCAATCAAGATCAGTAGCTTGAAACTCTCCCATTGGAATAGACTCCCAAGTTTCATTTCCTGCACCCACAACTGTTTAACGTCCAAAACCAATTTTATGTGCATAAACTGGAACAAGAGCCGTTCAAAGTTAGTATCTGAATCACTTGCTGTCCAGATTCAGAAAAGCCATGTAGAACACCAGGCTAATTGCAGCAAGAAATCAAGCAACTTCATGAATCTGCTTACCAACAAGAGTCTTATTCTCACTGTCTCCATGAATATTCTGCTCTCTTATGCTGTCCTACTATACTGTAATAGGATAACAGAAGCAGTCACCCAGTACAACCCAGGTAATAGGGCAATGGCTAAGGAACCCTCTCAGGAGCGTTGTAACGGACACTGCCAACCGCCACAGGAAACCAACCTGGAATCAGCAGAGCTGGTATGGAATCGTTCAACTTGGGGAAGGAGAGGATGGGGGTGGGGGTAGTGTAAGGGTGTGGGAAGAGTGGACAGTGCTTTCTTGTCCTTCAGGCAGAAGGAACTGAATCTTGCTTGTGTTAGGTGTTGGCTGAGCATGCTTACCCGCTGAGGCACTGAACCCTTGATACTGAATTTGTAAACTCTGCCACTGAAAGGCATGAGACGGGCATCAAGACAGTCAATCCTACTTCATGGTAGCAATTCTGAATATATACAAAGACAGAACTTTCAGTATCTGCAAAAACTTTAATGACAAAAAAATTCAGAAGCCTTTAACTTTTTGGGTATCCCATATGATGAGCAAGGACTGTAAAGTCTGTTTATATTTATATTTTAGATAACACTTGTTCCTTCACAAGGCACTCTCTATTTGGAATTTGTAAGAATCTCTATTTGTAATCAAATTGTTCATCACTTAGGTCAGCACAGGGTTCTCACAGGAAGGAGGGAAGAGAAGATGGCATTGGTGTTCATTACGAACATATAAAAGGATGAGGACAGAGCAGGAGAAGAACAAGTGCCAAGAATGAAAATGCAGTGTGTCATCCTAGGAACATACACTAGGAATCCCTGCTCCTCTGACTACCTGCTTTCTAGATTACCTACTCCCCTAATTTCATATACCAGAAAGCTCTTGGCTTTCACCAAATACTTTTGTTTCCTCCAACTGCTACTCCCTATGCAACAAATTCACCTTATGCGGAATCTCCCACTTCCTCTCACTTTCCGAAAATACACCAGAAACACCTGACTTCTGCACACCCACACATGCTTATCAGATGAATGTCTACAAAGAAGTAGGAAGTCTAGGCTATGACAAATGCATGTCATATGTCACCCTCTTCTCCTGAAACCTTGTTTTTCTTAGGATGAGTCCTCAAAACCCCCTCTGCCAATGATGCCTACAGGGAGCTGCTGTCTGCTAATGGCAAGCCTGGTACCAAGTTGAAACCACAGCTCCTGGTGAACTGAAAATTGGGCACACCCTATTACAGATGGTATTCTACTCCATGACCATTATCTCAACCAGCTCATCTGGAGAAAGAACTGTCACTCAACGTATACTTCTTTTACAATATTTAATAATGATGTTGAAAGGGGAAGAACAGAGCAAACACTTCACGTTCCAATACTGTACCTACAGGAAAGTCACTAATTCTCCACACACAGAAACACAGTTTTTAGAATTTACTTATGCCAATTATTTAAGGTCCCTACACACCCACAAGTATATCCATGTATCTGTTATGAACATGGGACAAACACACAGGAGTCAAGATAACAATACAACAGAAAGAGGAATTACCAAGAAAATCCTACTCTATGTATTCAAATAACTTAATTGTGGGATTAAGAACTCAGTTGTTTTTTTTTAAAGCCACAGCAATGAAATCAAAGAAATGTGGGTCAGAAGGAATCTCCCTAAGTCATCCAGTCCAAACTTCTACACAAAGCAGGACTCTGTCAACACTAGAGCAGATCAGCCTTGGCTTTATCACCAAGGATTGGGATTCCACAACCTCATTGTGTGACACTTGGTCCAGGGCTGCAATAGATTCCTGGCAAGAAAGAACATTGAAGACTCCTTGCAACACCTAATGAATTTAAAGTGACTTCCCTAACACAGAAGTTACAGGAAGGAAACAACCCAAGCTAGCTATTCAGTCCAAAATAAAAAAAAAAGGGAAAAAATAATCATTAATTTAAAAAAATTGCCAGTTCAGATTCTACTTAAAATAAGAAAAAAACCCATCCTAATATACACAGGAAATGTATGCATGACTAACTCTTAAGGTCTATATTTGAGCACTACTAAATCTACAATCACTAAAGTTGCAAGGTCAGTTTACTGGAGGGAGCTACACCAGAGAGCATTTTCACTGCTCAGCAAGCTGGTTTACATATTTACAAAACATGTCCCAACAGCGCAGTATTTTTAATTAATTCCCCACCAAAATACTTAAAACACTAACAGCATGGGGGGGGGGGCAGTTCTATGTTAGCATTCAGAATTTTCATAGGAAAAGGGTCAAAACCCACATCTACTTCATTCAGTTTTACAAAGGCCAAGCAAAGCCACACAGAAGCATGCAATCTCAATAAATATAATTTCTCTTCTGACCACTTACATTGGAGTTGGCGAAAATTGAATTTGAGTTGGCTACAGAATATTCTGCATTAGTCAAGTCTTCATTGCTCTGGTAAAAGACAGAAATAACTTTAGAAATAATACACTCAGTGAAGCTTTCTGTATCTAACACACAGGAATGCTACTTACAGATTTACTACTAGGTCCATGTAGAAAATAATTCAGCGCCTGTGGGTCCCTTAAGGGGGAAAAACAATAAAGAAGTTAGCACTTTTTGGAAGTTCTACTAATGAGACTAATTTAACAAAGGCACATGCTGTATTCATATAAATCAGGTTTATAGTAAAAATACACTTCTTTCACTGAATCCAATGCAAAGTTGAAACTTTATATCATCTGAGGATTTCTGTTTCTGCATCAGCACAATTTTCAGATGTTAATTGTATTTGCTGCCACTGTAACAAGGCATTTCAAGTAATAAGCTACGCTGATCACAAAATCTTAGTTGCACTCTACTTCCCTTTATAAGGATTACTCATACGCTCTTAAAACATGGTATTTTATGACAAGACACAGTACAAAACCTAAGGAATGTACTACCACCAAATAACACGAGAACTAAAACAGGTACCACCTTTTCTACAGCTAAACTACAATGCCTTGTTTAGCTCATATCTAATAATGGGGTATTTAGAAACCTGAATCTTTGACACGTTTTCTGCTGCCCTTAACATATATTAATAAAAACTTATGATGGCCAGAGTAACAGTCCTCTCACGGAGAAAATGTGGCACCTTTTCCAAGCGAAATCAACCACAGAAATAACCAGCTAAATATTATGACTTTCAGTGTATTTCATTAACTTAGCACTACCGCTGATTAAAACTCCGATGAAAATTCTGGTCGGACAGAATGAGTACTGGGAATTCAAACAAATAAAAAATACATTAATAGACATATATAGACCAAGTAAAAACAGTGAAAGGCTGTGTTACATGGGATTATTCTAACGCAACAATTATATGGTATTTCCTACATGTCCATTAGCATAAAGACTAAATTGACAGGTTTTTTATTTTAAAACGTGTTTATTGATTAACACATAATAATACAACATTTTTTAGAAGCACTGAAAGCATCTCCTTCTTGCTTGATCATCCTAGAAAATAAAGAGGGAACAAGTTAAAGATCTTTCAGGTTTACAACTACTCTTCTAAAAGCAAAACATACATTTACTCCTCTTTTTTCACAAAAGTTGTTTACAAAAGACGTATTAGACAGTACTTGGTAGGGACCTTATGGTATATTATGCTTACAACATTGAAGTGGTTACACATATTTTAAAATGGAAATGTCATTTTCACAGTAGATTACACTGAATTTCAAGAATTAAGCAGCACAGAACTCATGGTCTCATATGGGGCTCTATCATGATTACATGTTTTATCAGTAAAATAACCAGGCCATTTAGTACTAATTACCCTCACTGTCTTTCAATCATGAAAAATGCAATTAAAAATTAAGAACACTTCATCACCTTAAATATTGTTTTTAGTAAGGAAGGAATTTTAAAAGGCACTTACCAAATCATAGATCAGACGGAAAAAAGAAAATGTGTTTTCCATTCTTCTAGGTGCTTAAGACAATTATTTCTGCCAGCAGCAGGAAGAACACTGTAATTTTTCACACAAACACTCATCTGTATAGAGAGCACTTCATTCTCTGGACCACCTGTGATCTTGTACCAGGATCCTCACAATTCACCCTCGTGCCAGAGCACTTAATTATCCCAGGATCATCTTTATGTTTCAAGCAGGAAGTGTTTTCATACTGCCACAATCAGTAACCTTGTGCAACAGTACACTGCACAGCGGTGCTTTTGCAACAGCATCCACAGAGCAACCCTCAACAGAGCAACCCTCAAATTACAGCAGCCACCGCGATGGATTTTTGTTTTTTCTGAAGTTAAAGCTCTCACTGGTTTCACTGGAAGTTTTCCGTGTGTAAGAAAGGTAAAAAGCCTATTAAATTACTACACTTAAAACAGTAAAAAACTTCTTGAATGAGCTGGAAATGATCATTTAGCAACTGCTACAAGACTGATGTCAGAGTAACTTCTGGTAGAGTTTGAACAAAATATCACGTATGAAAAGCTCAATTATCTTCTGCTATGTATTATAGCATATTATCTGTTCCTGAGTACTGACGTGCATGGTAGCTAAAGGAAGGTAACTTGTCACATAGAAAATCCACAAAAAACTTGCTCAAGACTCAGCTATCTTAATTATTTTTTTAGATTCCCATATAGAATTATAAAACTCCAAATAAATCTGTTAGGGATATAATGGGGGGGTAGGGGGAGACCACACACAGGGGAAAAAAACCACCAACCCAGAGGACCACTTAAAATCCTCAATTTTACTAAAATCAAGTATCTTTGAGCAAAATGTTGATAAATTCTTGTTCGTTGTGAATACTTTAAAGTACAGGGAGTAATTCTTTTTTTTCTAACATTTGCATACAAATGTGTATTTATAAGTACGAAAAAAATCATTTCACCTTTCCCTTTAGAACACAAGCATAGTATTAATAAAATACCTAGTTCCACTACTCAAAAAAAACTGAGATCTTTAGATTTTCATTTAAAAAAACTAGTTATTTGCAATGAAGTTTGTAACAACATCCCTAGTAATGTACTTCAACCCTGATCTAACATTACCAGTAGCTGAGAAGAGAATCCAAACTCCATGAGGACACATTCCCTAGCCCCTCCTGAGGAGAATGTCAGCAAGTGAAGTGTTAGCTAGTATGCACTGGGATTGAAGGCTTTGTGATACACAGATCTCCACATGGAAGAAGTGAATCATATCTGCCCATTTTATTTGCCAGTCACCTCATCCTTAGACAATACTGAGATATAATCACCTTCTAAAAGATGATTTTGCAAAATTATTATTTCCAACTTTTCTGCAATAATTGCTTACGGAAAACTTACCCAATAAGATCAAGGAGACAGGATTCATCATCGTCATCATCCATGACAACTAGAACAAAGAAGGAGAGGATGGATATTTGATATGTATCACATAACAGTTTGCTTTCAACAACAAAACCAATTTAGAATATCTTACTATTTTTTATAAAACAATGAAGCTGACAGTTGTTTACTACTGGCAAAGTTCTTAAATAAATTTGCACTTTCTACAGACATCTGCTGATTTATCTCAAAATCAAATTCAGTAACATGCAAAGATTTACAAAATCCCATGCAATGTTTTACCCTCCAGGGGATTTTTATAATTTTAAACCAGCGAAAGACAAATGATTCACCAAACTGATTAAACAGAACTTCTGTGACTTAAGGCAGTAAAAACATTGACACTGAATGCAATCTAAGACTCCAGTTAAAATGCTTCTATAGGACTTTTTATTCCCAGCTAATACCAGTGAGGGAATAACCAAACACTACAGAAACTACAAAGGCTGTTACAATTGGTGGCTATAATACTGAGCAGACAAAAAGGTAAACAAATTAAGGGCAGTTTCATGAGGGGGCTGCTATAGTCTAGAACCAAAACTACAGCCGAGACATGACAAAACATTAAAAAGAACACTATTTTCTAACAGACCTTTCTTAGCAATAGCTAAATGACACTGTGGCCACTTCCAGTTTCTCTGCAGCAATATTCCGAAGTGTACTTCAAGGAACTTGTGATTAACAATACAGCGTTCTGACAGTCCTTCTAACAACGGGTGGGGAGGGAATTCATTGGCACGAGCCAATCTGAGGGCAACTATCCCCATACTGTGTGCAGAGCATTTTTAGCTTCACCGTATCGTGACCACCAACCCTCTTATGCACTGCTGACTCCATCAGGTGCTGCCTGTACCAAACATATTCCATAATTCTCTCCTCCGATCGCTGTTCCTTCAAGCTTCTGTTTGATTATCCTGGGGTCTCCCGTTCACCGTAACTCTCGGAATATCATCTGAGACTATACCTTCTCCTTTGTTCTTGTCAGTAACTCTCAAGACCATCCCATCTAACCCACCAGTTCAATTATCAACCGATGCTAATGTTTCCAAAACCTCTTGGTACCCTGGTTTCCACCTAAGCTCTCCTATCTCATCTTTACAGTATTTTTAAATCACCTCAAGTTGATCAGTGCATTCCATGCTTGTTTTTTTCTAAACTTCCCTTAAAAATTCTGCTATCATACTGATCACCAAAATGTATCAATACAGTTTTGGCTTTAATTCATTTTGCTCTCTCTTACTTCTTGCCAAACAGAAGCTTACTGTCCCTGACCAGAGATTCATGTGAATCGTTCTTCAGGCCGTCTCTCATACAGATCTCCATAGGGATTCGGACAATGAAGGGGCTGGAGAACCCACTATACAAGAGGGTGAGAGCACCAGGACCATTCTGCCTGAGTAACAGAAGGCTATGGGAAGATCTTAGCTGTGTGTGTAAATACCTGGTGGAAAGATGTTAAGAGTATTGAGCCAAACTCTTCTTACTGGCATCCAGTGAACAAACAAGAGGCAAGGGGCACAAATTGAAAAAATATAAACCAAAAAAGTCTACTTAAACAAAATAAAAAACTTCTATTTCTTTTAAAAACTCTGAGGGTAGTCAAATACTAGGCTCAGGTTTTCCAGCAAGGTTATGGAGACTGTATCCTTGGAGATACACAGAACCCAGCTGGACCACAGCCTTGACCTGTCTGCTCTGGCTGAACCTGCTGTGAGCAGGACAGGGGATGAGGTTATTTGCAGACATCCTTTCCCACCTCAGCTGTCCCGTGATTCTGCAACCTCTTTCCTGAAATTTTTCTCAACTCCACTGATTCTGAAAATAGTTTATGCTGTAGACTAGCAGAGGGTACTGTGTCCTCTATACTCTATAGCCTTATTTGGGTTTTTTCTTTAGCTGTGTTTTACGCTTACAGTGAGGGTGAAGCAGAAACAGAGCACATGTCACTATAAGGATCATTCGGTATCACCTCTCTGGGAGAACAGGAAAACAAAGCATGGCTACAGAAAACTACGTCAAATGCTGACAAAAATCAGCATTCATGAGGTGATTATGCATCTTAAGAAAAGTAATTTCTCCCATGAGTCAGTATTACATCTGCTTACTATTGCATACAGCCACCAGCTTGAGCACTGATCTTGCAATTTAATTCTCAGCAAATTGCATGACATTGTACGATGTCACAAATTTTAATGTAAATATGCATTACTAAGAACAAATTAATAAGCGAATAGCATTAAGTGATTAGCATTCTGCTTTAACTGTACTGCTTACAGAAAGCTGTTATTTCCTCTAACAGCTGAAAGCATACCCATCTCTCAAGAGCAAGGTTCCAAAGACTCCTAGCTAACCAAAATTCAAAAGTCAAAATTATCTTCGTTTTCACACTGCTTTTGAATATTCCATCCCATGTGTCTATGGCAATACTGGCAGCATTATTTAAATACAATAAAATGACTTTGCTTTACCTAACTAAATATTCTCTGTGATTATATTATAATAAGGGTTCACCATTAGCAAAAGTGACAACATCGAACTTTGTTCAATCGATACTCCTGTGGGTATTAAAACAACTAACACAAATTCAGAGAAATTTGGTAATTTCACTGAATTCTTCAAAACTCACATATAATGATCAGAAGGAAAATAAAATGCATGAAAAGCACTGATTAGAGAAGATCTTAATGGTAATACATATTCTTCACTATTACCCCCTTTAGCTGAACATACAGTTGGCTTTATTAGACAAACATGATACAAGAAAGATTATCCAACATACTCTAAAAGCCTACCAGTTTATGATGGACAATAAGCCCCAAAGAAAACAGCTGCTTTTTTTATAAACACCAAGAATCAAAACCAGTTCCCTCCTGAAGTGCAACTTCCTAACAAGCTTTAACAACATTCTTGTCATCACTAGCAGAATTCTGTCACACATGAAAAAGAAATATGTCACCTTTTCATTTTTAAGGCTAGTTTACCAATGGGCTAACCTGTATAAAACCATCTCCAAGTTTTCATACAGCTGATCACTGTACATCACAGAGCCACTTATCATACACAGCTCTTGCTACATTCAGAAGTCATTCCAATCAGCACTCACTGCACGAGGGGCTACATGCTCCCACACCTCGAAAACTGCAAATAAAGCACAGATAGATCACTACCATCTTGCTATCCCCACAAATCATGGCACTAACAAGGTGCTGCATGGCAGTGCTTTTGTGAAGTACCACAGGACCAACATGCAATTTGAACAGCACTCACAGGGGTATGTGGTCTCTGAAAGAAAAATCAAGATCCCAGCCAAGCCAGAAACCTACTTATTTAGACTAAATTCTGTTCCTATTTCACCACACATACCCAAAATCGACATAAACCATGGAACTGCATATTGTGGTTTAACCTGGCACGCAGCTAAGCACCACACAGCCACCTTGCTTGCTTCCCAAAAACAGAATGGGGGAGGGAATCAGGGAAAAAAAGGTCATACTCAGGAGTTGAGACAAAAACAGCTTAATATGACAGAAAAAAAAATAATAGCAATGATAAAAGAATATGCAAAACAAGGGATGCACAATGCTCACCACCTGCTGACTGATGTCCAGCTCAATCTAAGCAGCAGGCCATCACCCACCAGCCAATTCCCTTCAGTTTTATTGTTCTGCATGATGCCACATGGAACAGGATATTCTTTTGGTCAGTTGGGGTCAGCTCTGCCGGCTGTGTCCCCTCCCAGCTTCTTGCCCACCTCCAGTCTCCTCACTGGTGGGGTGATGTGAGAAGGTGCAAAGTCCTTGGCTTAGGAGCAGTCACTGCCCAGCAACAACTAAAACATCAGTGTGTTATCAACATCATTCTCATCCTAAATCATACAATTCAAATCACTGGTTGTTCTCACAAAAAAACAAATCCCCTTGAGGTTCATACAGGCCTTCCCCATCCTTCTGCATTAACCACTAAGTGAACCCAGGACCCTGAGTAAATGCAATCCCATGGATGGGTTTGCCTTTGCCTGAAACAGGAATAACCCAGACTGGCTTCCCCAGCATATTTTTCTGTGTGCACTATAGGAACTTTATCCCCTTCTACAGTACGCAGAAGTTCTGATTGGGCAGGGCCAGCCCAATTAGCAAACCCCCTAGTGTAAACTAATCAGATGGCTTTTGCTAAACGTGTATCAAAATGTTTGAATGTCCCAGTACCCCCTGCTCTCAATGTGACCTTTAACTGTCCATTGTATCATTTGGTTTTCCCAGAGGCTCATGCAGGACAGGGAAGTGATACACTCAACTCAGTGCCATGCGCTTTGCCTATTTCAGCCACTGTCCTCCACGCCAGAGGGGCTTTAGCCACTTGGCTTGCTTGACTGCAGTCCATGTGTCACATTCATGGATAACCTGTGCAGTAGTATCCGTGGTCAGGTTCACCCCGAGATCACAAGCCCACCTCTATGTTGCATCTCTTACTTGCTGGCCTAAGCTGTCATGGGCTCACCAAGCTATAAATAATTCACCCTTACATGGCCAGTGCAGATCGACCTGAGCCACTTCAGTCTTAGCAGCCTGTTGTACCTGCCGGCTGATGTTCTTCAGTGTCACTCCAGATGGATACAGATAGGTTCTGTCCCTTTGTAACTTGATGGCATTAAGGGTACACTGTGCACCACTGCCCACCACAGTGTTATCTCCTATGGCTTTGATGTGCCAGACCACCAAATCCACACAGTCCAATAAACCGGGTAGTCCCCCTTCCTCCACCTGGCTGGAGGCAGGGTCCTTCCAGTCCTGGTGACAGTATTTGTTACTTCTTGCAAATACAAATCAGTTCCCTTGCTGGCGGGGCAGTATGAGAAGGTGAAAAGTCCTTGGCTTAGTGCAAGCACTGCTCAGGAACAACTAAAACATCATCTGTTATCAACATTATTCTCATCCTAAATCCAAAACACAGCACTGTACCAGCCACTAGGATGAAAATCAACTTTATCCCAGCCGAAACCAGGACACT